TAACCTATATGAGAAAAGAACCTAAAAAAGAGTGGATCTATGTACATGCATAACTGAATCACTTTGCTGTGCACCTGAAACTAACACGACACTGTAAATCAACTTACTCCAATAACATTAAAATATTAAAAGTTCACTAATTAATTAATTAAATGCCTTGCTGAACCCCTCCCCCCAACAAAAAAAGAAATGTGCCAGAGAGACACAGCGCAGAAGATTAAAATGCTAGAAAGAATGCCTGCTGGAGAACTAGGAAACACACTTAGCCACGTTTGTAGCAGGACAACCACACCCCAGAAATAAAGTACCTTGCCCTGGGCAGACGCAGGATCGGGCGACAGCAAGACACAAAGAGGGGACAGAAAAGCACAACTGATCACAATCAAGAACAAGAGCTGGTGTGGTGACCCAGCCCCTGCCGGCCAGAAAAGTGAATCCCGAGGACACATGGCTGGTTCGAGTCAGAACTGTTCCCGGCGCTCAGCATCCCGAGGGGCAGGCTGGGTTGAGCCCGTGACCCTGGGGCCAGGTTGTCTGGGTTCAAATCCCAGCTCAGCCTCTTAGGAGCCGTATGACCTCAAGCAAGTTACTCCAGCTCTCACAGCCTTGGTTTTCTCATCCATAACATGGGGAGAATAATAATAATAGTCACTTATCTTGCAAGGCTGTAGTAAGGGCCAATGAGTGCACTGGAGCCAAGCTCTTAGCCATGCCTGGTGCATTTCTGCGCATCCAGCCTCAAGGCACAGGTGGGAAGGGGGTTCCTGACATTCTGTGTTGGATCAGGGTAGCGCTGCGGGAAGCTGGTCTCATTCCCCCACCTCAGCACCAATGTAACCTTCCAAACCAGCGGGCAAGGGTTTGTGTTTACACAGCTTCAATGTGGCAAAGCTCCATCCATTCACCAAATCCCGGAGCTCAACACAGAGTGATCTCTAAAGTAAATCAGAGTGATCTCTAAAGTAAATAAAGTGAAAATAAGCCAATCGCCCAGTAATAAGAGACTTTCCTCTTGTCTGCCCTGGTAATTCAGCCATTGGAGCCAGCCTCCTATTCCCCTGAGTTGAAAAGGGGGTTCAGGAAGCTGCCTGGCCAGGGATGCAAATGCAGGTCTGGGAGGCGGGCGTCCAAACCGCTGGATCCTGGATGCGGCAGGTCTCAGCACACCCACAGCGTGTGCACTATGTCTTGCCCTTCTCACCTTTCCTCTCGGCCCAGCAGGACAGGGAGCTGCACAGACCCAGGGGTCCCGGGAGCAGAGGGCCAGGCCAAGCCAACCAGCCACAGGGCTGCTCTGCTATGCAAATAAAGGGCCTTCAGCACAGGCTCAGTGGGTTCTGAGGCCCTGGGAATGTGAGCCTCCTGGGACACCTGCCTGCTCCCTCCTCCCTGCATCTTCCAGAGCTGCGGGGGTGTCACCAGAGTCAGGCTCTGCTGCTCGACCAGGGTGTGTCAACAAACAGGCGGGGGAGAAAGTACCGCTGACCCGCTGACGCTCTGAGAAACAAGGGCTGGGAGCCAAAACAAACTGACAAAGGGAAGAATCTGTCGCAAAAGAAAAGCTCATATTCCTCAAGCTGGGAGAGGCCCCTGAATGTCACCTAGTCCCCCAGACGGTGGCCCCTGAGAGTCCCCTCAGGCAGACAACCCACTCCCCACACTGGCCTTCAAGAGGGTCTTCCCAGATATGGGAACATGTGTATATGTATGGCTGATTCACTTTGTCATGGAGCAGAAACTAACACACCATCACAAAGCAATTATACTCCAATAAAGATGTAAAAAAAAAAAAAAGAGGGTCTTCCCGTGTCTGACCCAGTCCATCCGTCCCCGTGACCTTGTCTGAACAGGCAGAGCGGTTACAAGGCAAGAAAGAAGGGAGAGACCAGCCTGAAGCAGGTGCAGAGGCCACAGAGGACAGAACCTGCAAGGTACTTCCTCCCCATCACCTCGGGCTCAACCACAGATGAAGTCAGGCTAAATCGACCTTTGAGAACGGCGGGGAAGGGATGACAAGAACCAAAAGGTCACGAGCTGAGTCGTGGAAAGGGACAGGGAGTCTTGTCTGTGCCAAAGCTGTTGGTGCATCCAAGCCTCCAGGGCCAGTGAGGTGTGGGCCCCGGCTCGGGGGCAGCCTGCTGCAAATCCTGCCTCTGCCAGTTACTGGCTGTGTGACCCTGGGCATGGTGCTCTGCCTCTCTGTTCCTCATGTACTCTTCCTATAAAGCGGGAATGATAGCAGCGCCTACGCCACTGGGTTCTCGTGAGGCTTTAACAAGCAGATCCGCGTCTGGCGCTCGATGTGCTGGCTGCCATCAGGACGACAATTCGCCCAGGACAGCCTAGCTTCTGCCCGTTGTCCCAGCATCATTGCCAACACTCTGCCTTTCACCCTCAAACGTGAACGTGAACGGGTTGCAGGATGGATGGTCAGGCTGAGTAGCTCTTGTCTCTTTTTAGGTCCCCCTGGTTACCTCCCTGCTCCACACTGTCTGAGCATCAGACAACCAGGTCCCCAGAGGGTGTGTCCCCAAAGGTAGCTCTGCCCCGTGCCGGAAACTTGCTCAGTTTTCCTTTCCTCCTTTTCTCTTCCCTTTGTCTCCTGGTCTCCCGCCTGTTCTCTCCGCTGCTTCCCTATGGGTGCCACCTTATTTACAGGCCGTTAGTGGGGACTCCCCTGGCTCTGCACACGGGGATGGGATGCTTTCTGGCTCACTGACTGGACTAGGTAGGTCTCACCACTTTTCCCTTAGAGAAATGGAAACCCTCTGAGACGTCAAACATGACTTGACCACCAGACGGGTGAATGGAAATCATTTTCCATTTTGTGTATGGGTGTGAGTGTGTATTGTTTAACGGGGGAAAAGAGAATAACAGTTGGAAAGGGTCCATCCGATGCAGGGGTCTGTCTGTGAAAACAACCCCCCGGGGCGATTTTATAAAGGGAGAGGCTGGAGGCTACCCCCTGCATGGCAGTGGAGAGGGCCAGGAGCTCAGGGGTCGGCACCCTCTCTGCCACTCACTCACCACTGGTGAAGGACCATGATTTCTGAAGCCTCAGTTTCCCCATCTGTAAAACTGAGCACACTTGGCCCTAGGTAACCCAGATGCTCTGACACTGTAAGAGGCCTGGCCCTGTTCTTAGGATCCTGAAAAGGCACTTGTGGAATTCCGCAATATTCTGCAAACACGTCTTCAGGGTCTGTCCAGCCCTATTCATGGGGGAAACACAGGAAGGAACCAAGGCCTGGGACAGTGTGACAACCTGAACGAATTCTCGCCCAAGGAGTAATGGCAAATGCCTGAGGGCCCTGAGCACGGGCACAGCACGCACGCATGTTCCGTGTGGGCGTGAACTCAGCGACTGACTTACCAGATCCCTGGGGGATCCCTCACCAGACTCCCTCAGCCCCGGCCACCCCCCAGCTGCCTGTGGGCTCAGCAAACCCATGACAGGGAGCCTCGAGGCAGGGGTGCAGAGCCATAGCTACTGCAGCCCCGATCCCGGTGCTTGGGACCATCACAGGCTCACACGTCTCCAATCACCACCAAACCCGACCCTGCTCCAAACCCGGGCTTCCCTGTGCAGCACTGGAACCCCAATCTCCATCACCATAGTCTCTTCCTCTGTTCAGGCCTCTAACATTTATTTAGCTGCCAGATTGGATCTATTCCAGCTTTCTCTGGTTCAGTCCCTGCCCCACCACTCATGTGCTGTGTGACCTTGGACAAGTTGTTGACCTCTCTGAGTCTCCGTTTCCTCCTTTACAGAGTGGAGACAGTAGCAACAATCTCTTCGTAAGGTTGTTGGGAGGACTAAATGGGATCCTGGGTAGAAAGGCCCTACCACGGGTGCTGGCCTATAACAGATGGTTTCTCCTCCTACCCTGGTCCCTTTTAGCAGCATCCCTGGTCCTGCCCTTCTCTGCACGCCCTGCAGCCCTGCTCACCTCCTCTCCTTCCCGGGTTCTCCTCCCACAGCATCCTTTGCTTCCCAAATATCGCTGCCAAATGACAAGTTCTTCTGAACCCCAGTGACCTCACTGCCCTTCTCAGAACCCATCCAAAAATGCCCAGGCCGAATAAGAAGTGCAAGTTTCCTGGCCTGACACACCAGGCCTTCCCCGACCTCGTCCCAACCAACATCCTGCACCACACTGTCCATTGCGTTTTCCCTGGTCCCCAGACACCGCCACCTCCCCGCCTCTGCTGAGACGTCCCTGCCCCCAAATGCCCTGACCCAGCCTTCTCCTCAAGGCCCAGCCGAAGCGCCACCTCCAGAGGGCCACCTGACCCATTCCTTGCAGAGGTGATCACCCCCTCCTGCAAACTCACCCTAGACTCACGTTGTTCATCACCCTTTCCAGTCAGTACTGAGGGGTGAGGGGACCTCAGAGGGCAGACACCAGCCTCTCATCTATCCCCTAAAACTGTGCACAGAGCAGCTCTGATGGGCAAACACTACCCAACATGGCCGTGCATGGTAATGTCACCCAAAAGAGGACACGAACCCTGGACCCTCAAGATAAAATAAGTCCAATTCTATACGGGGTACGCTGCCCTAGCAAGTGTCATGTTCCTAGGCCCACAGCCTTGATAAAAGGATTCTTTGGCACATGCTGGTTTCTTCCAGAGACACAGGGAACTCACCGCCTCATGAGTCAGGCTCTTCTCCTGGACTGTGATCGGCTCCCCCTTCCGGGGACCCCCGCCCTCCAGGCCTTTCCTGCTGTCTGCAGCCACTCAGAACTAAGTCATCTGGGGTCCTTGGTATCCTCTCCAGATACCAAACCCAGGGCAGACTCCCAGCAAGGTCACTGTGTGTATGTGGACAGACGTATGTAGTCAGAGGGCTTTCCCGTGCACGCACCCACGTACACACACATGCACACACACACCTAGGCCAGAGTCAGCAAGGCTGGCTGAGTCACGCAGCCAGACCACAGCTCAAGCGGGGCCAGGGAGGAAGTGCCGCCCCATTTCCTGACCCTCCTTTGCTCTGGGAGGTTCTCTTTCTGTCTGTCTTTCTGACTCCGTCTCTCCCAGCGCTTTGTTTCTACTCAGGGCCACAGCCTGCTGTCCTGGCCCCGTCGCAAGGGCTCCTAGCAGCACTGACCTCCAAGGTGAGGACTTCTGGCTTCCAGACCTGCCATCCTGGACAAGTCACTTCACCACTCTGAACCTCGGTTTCTTCTTCTGTGAAATGAAGAGGCTGGGTGTGGCGACAGGGTCCCTGAGGTCCCTTCTGATCTCAGACCGGGGGTTTCTGGCCCTCCTCTAGTCCGCACAGGGTTCAGAGCGTCGGGGGGTGGGGGGCAGGGCCAGGCGGGGCCTGGGGACAGGGGTGGGGAGTCCAGCTTCTCCCTGGGGCGCACACCTCTGAACTCCATGTGCTGCACACACTCGCTGGCCCCCGCGGCGGGTCAGAGAGCAGGAAGCGCCACCCAGGCCGGCTGCCTGGCAAGGGGGGGGCGGCGCCCACCCGCACCTTCCACTCCCTCCCTTCTCCGGACCCACCTTGCACCAGCCGCCTCGACTCCGCAGTCACCGTGCGCCGCCGGCCCACAGCTGTCAGGCACCGCCCGCCCTCCCACCGCTCCGCGCGACCCCTCGCCAATGAACCGGCCCCCAGCGGAAGCGGCGCCGGGAGCCGCCGCCTCCTGGGCGCCCTCCGGGATCTGCGCGCGCCCGCCGTGTGGGGGCCGGGCCGGCGGCGACCTCTGACTGCCCTGCGGGGGAGCCTGGGTGTCGAGGGCGGGGCTGCTGGTGACAGCCTGCCTGACTGGTCGGGCTTCCTGGGTCCCTCTGTTCCGGAGTCCCTGAGACCTCTTGCCCCCATTCCAGGATGTTTCCAGGCATTTCTCTAAAGGTGGACATCAGTCCCCGGCCTTAGCCGCCCGCTAGAAAAAGTTACAGACTAGGTGAGTCTCCCTGAACACCTGCAACACCCAGGCCCCCTCCAGCCGGTATCTCTGGGGTTTTGTCCTTTGTACGCTTCTGCCTCTTCTGTACATTCTACCGTGGCCATGAGGGCTTGTGTGATAAAAAGCATACAATTAATAAAGCATTAAATAAATCTTCAAAGGCCTCCCGAGGCAGTCAGGCTGAAGGATGACCCTGAGCCTGGCACACAGGGCCCTCCACGTACACTCTCTGGACACGAGCTAACTTTCCAGACTCACAGCTTCTCCCCCAAACACACACATGCAGCCACGCTCTGGCGGCCACACACCAGCTGCCGGGGGCTCTTGCTTTGCCTGGAATGCGCTTTCCCATTCTTCTCTGCCTGCGCACGAAATCCTACTCATCCATCCAGGCCCCACTGAAATGCCCACTTCTCAGGGAATCCTTCCCCAGACGCCGGCTCCAAAAGAACTCTCAACCCCTTTTTGGTGAACCCACGGTTCCCTTGCTGGTTTATAGATTAGCATCTCCTTTCTCTCCCCGGTTCTGCTCCCCTGCCCTCCACACCAAGCCCCGTTCCAGGAGGGATGGAAACACGCGATAAACACTTATCGAGATCCTGTTATAAATTGCTATGTGCTGTGGACGTGCCTCTCCATGAAGTCCGGGTACCACAGGCTCACAGCCTTCCCTCGCCCCGTCCCGCCCCGTACCCCAGCGGCAGGGATGCACCAGAGCCGTCCCCACCAGAGGTTCAGAAGGCTGTCAGGCCTCACCCGCCCTCCTACTCGCACCCCTGCGCCACGCACTAGGTTTCTCTGTCCCTGCTCTGGGGTATGCTTGCTTGCGTCAGCCCCAAGGTCAAAGATGACTGTGTCCATCTCTGAGTCTTGTGCTGTCCCATCATACACATGTGAGGGCTGGCCTTCCAGGTAGCAGAGCCAGCTGCACAGATGGCCTGCCCTTCTCCCAGCCCCTTGAGGGGAAAGGAGGACCTTTATTATGAGCATCCGAGGATTGCAAGGGCTCGTGTAGCTCATCTGATGTGAAGCCTACCCATCCCTGAGGGCAGAGAGATCAGGGGCATCAGAGGTACCTACCATTGCTGTCGTTGTTGTTAAAAGGTAGTATTAATACTGTTACGTTGCGGGTTGAGATTGCCTTTCGAGTCCTAAAGCCATTCCACGTACTGATGCTTGTTTGCCCCTCTGGGTCCCACGAGGTCTTAAGATATTAGCGGTGAAGTACGTCTAGAGCCAGAGACCTGGGCTTGGACCTCGGTGCTCCAACCTGTCTGCTGCGACCTTGACGAGTTACTGAACTTTCCTCCATTGCTAGCATGTAGGCAGTGACAGTTCCTGTATCACAGGGTTGCTCTAAGGATCTAAATAAGAGTGTGTCTTTAAAGGGTTTAGAATAGTAGCTGGTACATAAAAAATGCCAAATGCGTTGGCTCTTACTGATTCTTTGCTACTGTTCATTGTATTATTTTACAGGTGGAGTAACTGAGGGCTGGAAAGGCTGAGACTCATCTAAGGAATCGCTGCTTCCAAGGGGCTGTTTTTCTCACCAAACTCCACTTATTCTTTGTGAGCGAGCTGCTGCCCACCCGCCCCGGCGGGGGGCGCACGTAGAGCAGTCCGTGGGCTTGCAGGGCAGCTTCAGGGAGATGCGCTCTCCTCTTCACCCCCGCCCCCCTGCGTCTCTGTGTTTTCTTGCTAATGTGCTGCTCTCAACTATAATGGGAGGCCAGTTGCTCGTGTGTGTGTGGTCCCCCAGGGGAACCGTGGAAACATTCCCTGTCCCAGTGCAGGAATTTCCTGTTGGCCCTTCTTCCTTATTATGAGCGGCTACGATGACAGAATTTCCAACAGGTGGAAGCCAAAAAAACAAACAGACCTTTCAATGTTGACTCTCCCAGGCACCGTGCAGAAGGACCGCATCTGTCTTGCCTCCCAGAGAAAATGTAAATGACCTATTTTTTTTAAAGCTACAGTTGTCTCTTGACCCATTGGAAAAGAAAAAAGAATCAAGACTACAACTGCTTAACGTTATTTCAGGAAAAACAATACAGAGGGTATAAAACAGCTCACTAGACAGCAATAAAAGATGAGATTTGTAGTAGGATTTTGCTACTGATTCAAGAGGTTGTGAGTCCTCCTAAGTCCCATGGAATCTCCTTGGTGACGCCTTTGGCCTGCCCCGTCTCCTTTCGCAGTTTGTCACCTGGGCTCAGGTTTCCTCGCCTCTTTCTGCACAATGACCTGGACTGTATACTTTTTTTTTGCGGTAAGCGGGCCCCTCACCGTTGTGGCCTCTCCCGTTGTGGAGCACAGGCTCCGGACGCGCAGGCTCAGCGGCCACGGCTCACGGGCCCAGCCGCTCCGCGGCATGTGGGATCTTCCCGGACCGGGGCACGAACCCGTGTCCCCTGCATCGGCAGGCGGACTCTCAACCACTGCACCACCAGGGAAGCCCTTGACTGTATACTTTTATTCTCTCCTGCACCCAATGCTCCCTACACAGGACGGCCAGATGATGACAAATGCAAAGCACGGTCTAGACCTGTCCCCTCTCTGCACAAAAAAACCTTCCATGAACACCCTTTCTGTGTTTTCTGAATGAAATCCAAAATCTTTAGGCTGGCCTCCAAAGCCCTCGGCACCTGTGAGCTTGCTCCTTCTGACTCACCGACGACAGGGCTTTAAGAGCCCCTCGTTTGCACTCCAGCATCAGTGCTGTGCTAACTTTGTTCTCCTGCCCAAAGGGCCTTCCTGGCCGTCTCCATCCAAAGTCCAGGGCCATATCCAGCTCCCATGCTGCCCCTGCGCAGGAAGAATTCGCCCTCAGCTCACAGAGGGAGGAACAGCCTACACCCCACCCCCGACTCCCAACCATGTCTCCCAGAGACACCGTCGCACTGCCGCCTCGCACCCAATTTACTTCTGGAGTTGGCGTCCCAGAGGGGAAGGGGATAGAGTGGGAGACACAAACTAACTCTTTGGCTTTGAGCAAACTGGGAAGCTTCTCCCATCTTCAGTTTCCTCATGTATCATATGTCGTTGACGCAGGACCGACCTGATGAGGGTGTCGTGGGGAGCAGAGGGGATAACTCACGTAGGCAGCACTTAGCCCAGAGCGTGGGACTATGTCAGGGCTCACAGTGATAGAATGGAAGAAACGAGGAGAGAGACAGGGTGGGGGGAAGGCAGGGCGGGGGGACAGAAGAGAGGAGGGAATGGAAGGAAAGAGAAGGGAGAAAAAGAAGTCAATTACCTCCTTTTTCTACCGGAGTCAAAGGACTTGCCTCTTCTTAGATGAAACACACACACATAACCTTCCTTGGAGACAAAGTTTGACATAAAAATGACATCAGGATCAGGGAAAGGGTGAAATCAAGTAATATTTTTAGGTCCACTGTGCACATTTATGAGCTGAATTCTATTAGAAACTTAACATTTTCAAAATGCGAAAAATGGTGGCAATCACCCATCCACCCCCATGCTTTCCTGCTAAGGAAATGGCAAAGGGCAAGAGCTGGTTAACAGGCAGAGTCCAGACCGAAAAGCTTTCAGCCCAGAGCTCTTACCTTCCTTGTACATCACCTCTCCAGGCTTGGGAAAGACACAGTAAAAATCTCCTGCTCAGAGGGTAACTTCCAGCATGAGTACGTAAAGAGTTGGATAAACCAGTTCTCCAAAAAGCAACTATAAAGCTTGGTCAAAACTGTCACAAACAACCATTTCAGCCCTCCAGAAATTGACCGAAAACATGCCACAAACTGAGAAATGTTTGTCCACGAAAACGACTGAAGCTGTTCCCATCCCCAGAAGCTCTGTTGTTTGATGGTTCAACCAGGGCAGACTGGAAAAATGAGCAGCGTTTTCTCATTGCCAGAGTGGCCTCTTTGTATTTGGAGAGGTGTCAGTTTAAACAGTGATCTCAGAAGCAAGCGGACAGGGAGGGCCAGCAGCTCTGCTAGCTTGAAACTGGTGAGCAATGGACTGGTGATTACCTGGAAATTTAACAGGAAATTGAGGGAGGTGAAGCAGCCATGGGGAGATGGATAAACTCTCCACGTATCACAGGTTGACCCAGGTTGCAAACACTGCACAGACAGGAACAGCCCAGGTCACCCACACAATGCTGGCCAGTGGAACCTGCCCACATGTACGGTGGAGATGCAAGGGCTTGATGGAAAACAGAAGCCTGCGCAGACTTGAAAAAAAAAAAAAACCTGTACATTGGAGTGTGCTGCCCAGCTCACTCACAGATTTATCAGCAGACAGTGGAGGTCTTACTGGCTCGCGGTACTTGAGCCCAACCTGTGACCAATCTTTGGTTGAACACTGATCTAAGAAGACAAAGGATGAGTATAGAAAGCTAGGCTCAAGAATAAAACACAAGAAAAACAAAACAGCAGAGGCCTTCATGGACGCACCCTGCAGAGGTGGTAAACTTAGCAGATTTAGTGCGGGCAAGTTATTAAACAAACACACACATACCAAAAACCAACACCATTAGCGGAAAATTAGAAGACATCGTCGCTAAATATACTATGTAAAATACCCAGTTTTCACCAAAGAAATTACAAGACAGGCAAAGTAACAGGAAAGTGTGACCATATTCAGAAAAAAAATTGCAATCAAGAGAAACTGTCTCTGCGTGTCCCTAAGATGTTGGGTTTATCAGACAAAATCTTTACAGCAGCTATTATAAATATGTTTAAGTAAGTAAAAGAAGCTATGTTTAAAAATTTAAGGAAAGTACGACAACGATGATTCAATGAATTTTAAAAACCTCAATAAAAAGGTAGAAATTATACAAATGAATCCATTCTGAAACAATGGAGGCCACAGAGGAATGGACTGGCATATTTACAGTGCTGAAAAATATCTGTCCACCGAGAATTCTATATCCAGCAAAACCATCCTTCACAAATGAGAGCAAAATAGAGATATTCCCAGATAACCAAAGACCAGTATAATGTTTTACTAGCAGACACACCTTACGAGAAATACTAAAGGAAGTCCTTTAGGCTGAAAGAAAGTAACACCAGATAATACTCAAAACTACAATAAGAAATGAAGAGTTCCAGAAATGATAAAGATGTGTGTAAATACAAAAGACTCTATAAATATATTTTCTCATTTCTTCTCCTAACTTCTTTAAAAGAAGTTGTATAAAGCAAACATTATAACACTGTATTATTGGGTAGAAACAGCTATGTAGAAATAGATATGATAATAATGGAACAAAGGAGGGAGAGGAAAGGAAAATATATCGAAACAAAGTTTCTAGAATTAATTTAGTGTTATTCTCAATTAGATTGTAGTAAGTTGAGATGCATATTATAATACTTAGAGCAACCATCAAGAAAGTACTAAAAATATAGCAAAAAAATCAACGGAGGAATTAAAAGGATACACTAAAAATAGTTATTTAACACAAAAGAAGGAAGGAAGGGAGGAGGAGAGGAATTAAAAAAGACATGAGAAAAATAGAAAACAAATACCAAAATAGCAGACCATATACCAACCATATCAGTAATTACACTAAATGTAAATGGGCTACTGCGATATTGTGACTTATGATAAGAAATATATATTTGGTCTTTGCCCATGATTTCTGACTCACAGCTCCCAAAACCCTTGGGACTTCCTAAGTGATTAGAGCCATAGGGGCATCTTTTGTTATAATATTTGGTCTCCTGTCCTCAGTTCCCCAAATAGCTTCAGAGTCAATAAAGGTAAAAAGGGTGTCGTGTTATTTATAACAAGCCCCTTTCCACCACAACTGAGTTTATATTAATGAGATGACTTTTGGAAATCCCCTAAAGATGGGGGAGCTAGTTGGCAGGGGAACCAACCATGAACTGAGAGTTGGAACTTTCAGTCCCACCCCCTGATTTCTGGGCAAGGGGGAGGGGCTGAAGGTTGAGTCAATTACAATAGCCCACGATTTAAACAATCATGCCTGTGTAATGGGGCCTCCATAAAACCCCCAAAGGATGGGGTTTGGAGACCTTCCAGGTTGGTGAACCAGAACACTTCCATGTGCCACCATGCTGGGCGCCAAACTCCACCGGGACAGAAGCTCTTTTGTTTGGGACCTTGTGCTGTGTATCTCTTGATCTGGCTGTTGATCTGTATCTTTTGATATCCTTTGTTTCCTGAGTTCTGTGAGCAACTCTAGCAAAGTAATCAAACCAGAGGAGGGGGTCGTGGGAGCCTCCAGTTTATAGCTGGTTGGTCAGAAGCACAGGTAACAACCTGGACTTACAATTGGCATCTGAAGTGGGGGAATGTGCGACTGAACCCTCAACCTGTGGAATCAGATGCTATTTCCAGGTAGTGTCAAAATTGAATTGAAAACCCAGATGATGTCGGAGAATTGCTTGGTGGTGTGGGAAAAAAGACCCACGCATGGAACTGGGTACAGAATTGTCACTAAACACTCCACTTAAAAAGCACAGATTATTAGACTGAATAAATAAGAGCAAGATCCAACTATATCCTGTCTACAAGAGAAGTGGCTTGGAGTCAAAGAAACAATGAGATTAAAAGTAAAAGAATGGAGGAATTCCAGTTCCAGCTGTAACAGTAAAGAGCTTGGAACTCATCACTTCTATACTTGTTTCAAGATAAAAGCTGAACCAACTGAAAATAAATGAATATCTTAGAAAATGAATATCAGAAAATGGACGTCACAGGCAAGGCACCATCCTGGGGGAACAGGTGAATATGGAGAACCACAGCCTTGATCAGCTCATCTGGGGAAGACGTCGCTGTGGCCATAAAAGGGTAGGAACACTTAAATGATAATTTTGATGAACTGCTGGAGGCTGAGTGTGGATTTGCTAGGAGTGAGAATCTCCTGGAGGTGCAGTTTTAGGGGGGTCGCCCCATTTTTATGAGTTCAACTTTCAGGAACCCACTGGACTCTCAAGGTCAGGACCCGACACAAATTCCTTCATGTTTCAGGCAGAGGGTGGGGGAAGTGACCATTTTTATATATGCCCAGAACATTCTCCATAACGAAGTTCTGCTCTCCAAGGGACCAACTTTACCAGAGCCTTATCCACTGGGTGTGTGGCGGGGGGGGGGGGGGGGAGTGCAATTAACCAGCTCCAGTTCCCTAGAGCTTCCTGTCTCACCTGAAGGTATACACGCTATTATATATAAAATAGATAACCAACAAGGACCTACGGTATACTACAGGGAACTCTGCTCAATATCTTGTAATAAGCTATAATGGAAAAGACTCTGAAAAAGAATGTAAATGTATATATATAATGTGTGTATGTATA